TCACTGTAATCTCGTAATCCTCGAGTGCAGACTCAACGTGCTCAAACACGACACGATATCATCACCACAACACGTGACACGAGAAAAATCCCCCGAAAAAAACCGAGCCACGCGGCCCCCCACCTCCAAACAGCTCCACCCACCCACCTTCTTCAACCCACAATCCCTCATCCACCGCCTCAAATCCTCCGCCTCCTCCCATGACCCCACGTCCGCATAATTATTCGCGATCATCACCAAATTCCCGATTCTCTTCGGCTCGAGCTCCACAAGCCTCCGCCTCACCTTTTCCCTGACCCAACCCAAACCCCCCACACGATCATGAATCCCACACGCGCTAAGCAGAGCCCTCCACACGACCCCATCTGGCTCAACCGGCATATCCATTATAAAATCGTACGCTTCCTCTAAAAGCCCGGCCCGGCCCAGTATATCCACCATTGCCCCATAGTGCGGCATTCCGGGCTTGAGCCCGTGAACCTTTTCCATCTCGTGAAAGTATCGCCGCCCGTCATGAACGAGCCCTGCGTGGCTGCAAGCGCAAAGAACGCCAAGAAAAGTTACGTGATTGGGCCTTATCGAGTGATCTTGCATATCATGAAAGAGTCGGAGGGCGGGGCCCGCTAGCCCGTGCTGCGCGAACCCGAGAATCATCGAGCTCCAAGTCCACACGTTCTTTCGGGCCATGGATTTGAATACTCGGGCCGCATAGTTGAGGTTCCCGCATTTCGCGTACATGTCGACAAGGGAAGTGCCCAGCTGGCAGTTCACGAGCAAGCCCGATTCTATCACGTGGGAGTGGGCCCGCTTGCCGAGGGTCAGGCTGCCGAGCCCAGTACAGGCAGAGAGGATGATCACCATTGTCGTCTCATCCGGCCCGAACCCATTTCTCCTCATCTTAATGAAAAGCTCGATAGCTTCGTCGAACCAAGAGCACTCGACGAGGGCCGATATTATCGAGTTCCACGAGACCACCATTCTGTGAGGCATTCCGTCAAACACCTTGTACGCGTCCACAATTTTTTTACACGAGCCGTACAGATGAATTAGCGTGTTCTGCACATAGACGTTGAGATGCAAGCCGTGCTTGACCGCGTCGCCGTGGACCTGCTGGCCCTCGTCGAGGCCCGAAAACGAAGAGCAAGCTTTGAAGAGGAAAGGGAAGGTGTGCTCGTTGGGCCTGATCCCCTGGCGCCGCATCCGGATAAAGGCACGGAGGGCCTCTCTCCCAAAATTGGAGGTGGCGAGGGCCCGGATCACGCTGTTCCATGAAAAGGGTTCTTTATTTTCCGAGAGGCTAGCGATGTGGTGGCCGTGATTTATGGGGTCGAGCGGGTGTTTTGCCCGGAGAGAGTTTGAGGTGCAGAGGTGAATGATTTTGTCTGTGAGGTGCGAATTGCCATGGCGGCCGGAGGTTATTATCTGCGCGTGGATTTGGAGAAGGTGACTCAGTGTAGAGCATGAGCTCAATAGGGCGGCTATGGAATTTGAGTTGCCGGTGAAGGTTTTGGGCCGGTGAATTTCGGGAACCGTTGGGATTGCAAATCGGGCCATAGTATGTGGGCCTCGTTTTCTCGAGTTCGGGCGTCGAAAAAGTGGCTTCGGAGTTGCATGAGAGGCATATATTTTTTACTTTTTGCTCATAACATTATTGTTAGGCAACATCGCATCTATATATATAATTATTAATTGAGTTTAGGTGACAGATTCTGTATGCTTGTAAGTTTATTTGGTGTAAATTGGTTTAGTCGACGTCACCTGCGAGGGTGGCACCCATTTTTACTGTGGACGAATCACAGTGCTACACGTGGCGTTTTGCATTTTACATTTTTTTTTTTCCCATCCCTTACTTCTATTTTAGCTTTTTTTATTTATTTCCCTGTAACCATGGTTTAAAACTTATTAGGTGTAAAATATCAGATTCAGATTGAGATCTGAAATTTCGAACTCGAAATAGTGGAGAGACCTCAAAAAAATTCATCGCCCGGTTTCCCGATTGAAGCATGTCGCCCGATTTCCCGATTACTGCATTCTCGCGCGATTCATAGGTACAGAATCTCGGACGAATGGGTGTTTCACGTTTAAAATCTTCACCTTTTTTTCAGCAAAATAATGTTATAATCTACATCTTTTTTTTTTTCATCAGAATAATGTTATAATCTTCACC